GTCTCACTAGTTGTCCTGTCAGCCACTAGATCTCTGCACATCCCCTCCAGCTTCTCGAAACTCCTCGAGCAATTCCTGTCTGCGTTGGGTTCCGTCTACTGCGCAGGCTGACCAACGCTGAACTCAGACAGCTCCTCGAGGAGGATCACGAGGCTTGGTGAACGCGGCTATTCATTGAGATGGAGCAAGCGACCACCGCGGGGAAATCCTGAAAACATTTGATCCTGGTCCGATTTACTGGCGGCATAAAGCCGACTGTAAGCGAAGTCTTATGCGAAACCAACGGCTAGCTGCTGCACTGTCAACGTTGACTTGCTCATTGGAAAGTACATTTTGAACAGCAGTTTAACTATCCAGCGGCACCGACTAGTACTAACTCAATCATCCAGAGTTTTGTCTGGACCTCAGACGACTTCCACCCGGCTCTTTTCAAAGATGACGGTCCATCCCTTGTTCGGGAGATAACTTCCCTCCTTCAAGAGCTTTGGCTCATTGAAACCATACCATTTGATTGGAGCCTAGCGGATATCACATCCGTCATCAAAGTGGGTGCGCAGACAGACTACGCTAACCACAGATGGATTAGTCTCATCTGCGTTGCATTCAATGTGCTCTGCTTCTAAGAAGGCTTGGTCTGATACGCGCAGAGAACGTGCGCAAACGGCAACCTTGGTTCCGCTGCGGCAGGTCTTGTATCGATCACATTTTTACGCTGCGTCAAATACTCCAGGGTCGTCAAACATTCGGCCGGTCAATGATCGTTGTCTTAATCACACGAGCCGTGTTTGACGCAATTAACTGAGCTGTTCTCTGGAGTTGTCTATTGAGAAGGAGAGTAGCCGAGAAGTGTGTCAACATTCTTCAAGCCATCTGTTCTCTAACTTCGCGCCGGATCCGGGTGTACGGAGGACTTTCGCCCCCCCTTTAGTATCACCAATGGCGTGAGACAGGGCTACCCAGCATCGCCCTTCCTACTCACTTTCGCTTTGGACGACATCCTAGAGAGTTCAATGGACAACTGCGAACCCAGCGACTTGAGCTGCTTCTGGGAGACCGATTTCGCGATTTGGAGTATGCAGACGACATCGCCGTAATTTTCCATTTATCACAGGCCGCCCAAAATGTGCTGTGTAGGTTGGCGGTGTCTGCCTCCCAGTTTAGAATGACTTTTGCCCCTTCGAAGTGTATGGTCTTCCTACAGGACTGGCCAGGATCTGCTCCAACCTTTACATTTTCAGGTCACTCTCTGGAAGTGGTAGACACGCTTGTTTACCTCAGAAGCTGCATCAATGTTATCGGTTTAGTGGATGAGGGCTATTTTCGTGTTTCTATGGCCTTGGTTGCTTTTGCTAATCTCCGTTATCTCTTAGACGCAACCTGAGCTTCTCTCTGAAGAGCCAAGTCTACAATGTCGCGGTAACAGCTGTCCTACTGTACGGTTGTGAGACTTGGTCTTCTCGTGCAACGGACGTTCAGAGATTGTCTTTTTGATCACTGCTGCCTTCGAAGCATTGCTGTTGCACGACGGCAGCATTCAATTAGTAGTGAGGATGTTTGCCGAAGGATTTTCAAATCAGACCAAATTTGCCGACTGCTGAGTCGTGTACTTTCCCTAAACAGGTTTTAGTGGCTTAGGCACCTACTTCACATGCCCAATAAGCGCTTACCACACCGTTCACTCTTCGCCCGCGCCGAGGTCGGATGGAAACGAAAACAACGTGTCTAACAACTAACTGGCCAAAAGTGTAGGTGCGCTGATCTCAAATTTGGCCGCATTCGGGCGCTCTCGACTCCCTGGCGAGGGCCGCAAGGATTAACAGCACACATGACTAGAAACCCTCTCGTACACAGCAAGGAACCGTGCACAATGCCTAACATTTTGTGGGGGCTCTACTCCGGTAACTAGTGTTTTACACTTTATTCCTCTCTTTTCACTCTTGTGGCACTCTGCCAGTTGTACCATTTCGCAAGTGTTCGATATGCTTGGCAGCATCTGATTCCGGATTTGCTTGTCACTTCGGCCTTAATAGGGACAGCCACAGGACGCCTGTGCCTATAGAGGGGCCATGGTTGGCTTACGCTGCACCACTCACAGCTCCATCCGCACACCCTATATCCAATGTAAACCTACTCCATGTGTCCAGAGTATGTGGTTCTTTCGTTATTTACAAATGATGATGTTCCCCACAGTCAACTGACCCACCTGTTCTAGCAAGTATGGTGAATGAGAGCATCTTGGCTAATTTCCATAAATTCATCATTGTGGAAGGATCTAAAGGTAGCCACAAAGTATAACCTGACCGCGACAGTATCGGCCTAATGCCAGCGCTGACATGCTTGCCAACCTCCGTTGTCTTTCTTCGATTCTCAGTGGAACGCTAATCACCGGTAGCTCTCTTTAACCTTGCAAGGGCTGTGCATACATCCCATTGTCACTTTGCTGCAGGTGCTAGAACAGCGTCACATCTGCTGCACTCAGACTTTCTTGATTTCAGTGACGGGCTCGACTCACTTATTTGACCTATCTACCCTGTAAGTGCTTCTGTGAAGTAGTTGAGCGTCTCACTGTAATCCAATGCCTCAACTAGTTTCCTTGTATTCGGTGAACTGTCGGACACTGTTCTGACAGACACCGGTGTTTACCAGAATTGTCTATCTTCCCATTTATCTTCAAATTACTCGTGAATTCCATCATAATTTTCATTGAGGTTCTCATGATGCAGCTTACTTTGATTATGTGGGGGATGTCTCCTTGACGGTTGACGATCGCGAGTGACAGTCATCCTTGGACAAACTCTTACATTACCATTTTTTATGCATAATTCCGTCTTAAACGCACAGCGGTTGCTTACTAACCCGGTTGGAGCTTCTTACGCTGGACCATACACATAAATTAGCCTTTACATTCTGACTGAGGGCCATTCGAACACCGAAAACACCATGGACTTTTATTCCTTCACCACCGAAGCGCGAATTGTTTTACTGCCTACATCATTTGCACCTTAGTCTGATAAATGCAGACTCATTAAGACCCTGTTGTCTTGTATACTTTTTTCGAAGGAAGTGCGAACATCAGCTCCGCGGACGTGCAAAGCCATAGAGATTACCCCTATCTGACCAGTCTTACTTGCGGAGGATGAAAGATTTTAGCCAGATTGTTGCCCTGCCTTTGCGTACCGGCTTATCTTCCTTGTTAACGTGGCCGATGAAGTCGATTATCTGTTGCTAAGATTAGTCTCTGGAAAGAGTGGAAGGAGAAGCACGGGAACATCTGCATGTGACAGTATTTTGTAGTCAGTTTACTTTGACTGCTTTACTCCATGTTACTCACTTCTTGCTTAAGGTTCAATACTCTGGCCCACAGTCGGATTAAGTGAGTGAAGATTTGCTTGAAACCCTGTCCGTAGCAGTCCCTCCAGTTATGTAGGTGCAGGTTACCCCACAATATTCCGGCTCACATGCAAGTGCCAGTAGTTGAATCACTACAAAGCGCAGTTACACGTGTTCCGTTGTAATGTTAACATTTCTACCATCATCATCATGCCATGCTTGAACGAGCACGAATGGCACGTAGGCTGTTGCGTAATTTCAAGTGAAATTTTCATTTATTTCTTCCTCATGTACCGGCTTTATTACCTCCACATCTATGCCGTATACCTTCCTTCGTGTGTGTAGTGCTACTGAGATTACTTTGGTGAATTGGTAGAGGGGCGTGAAGTCACTTTTGTGGTCCTTAGTTAAAAAAATAACAAGGCATTAGCACCACACTGATACGCAGTACCGACGCTTCGCTGCCGCACAACCACCACCGATTGCACGTGGGCTAATCATATTGCGAGGATCGCCCGATCCCTACGCAGGCTCGAACCCGTGCCCTCTGATTACAAGACAGGCTTATGATCCTTGAAGCTACGGACCGGCTACATTGAGTTCCTTTTTCACGTGTTAGAACCTTGGGCGCTGTACTTGTAACTGTTAAAGTTTTGTATTTTGTAAAACTGTTGTATTCTATCCTTTACTTCACTTGCTGCACTCGTACATCTAACTATTCTGGTTTTTCGACGTTTTCCGGCCTCATTTTCTTCATATCTATTAATACCTTTTCGCGGACACGCTAATGAAGACAACTGTTTGTTGCTCACTTCATAGAGTGGATATTAGTTGGATAGTGGAAATGCGCTGAGAGCTTTGTGGGTTTATTGCAATGTTACCGGCTCAATGGCTTTCACCACAAAAATCCCGCAGATTTTTTACTGTCCGTGTTGCGTTCGAGAATGAGCTTTCCGAAAACAACAACGTCATGCACCATGTATCATAGCAATTTGCGCTTGAGTCAACCGCCGGTGACCGTCATCCTTTAGCAAGGGTACGAGAAGTTTCTGCATCTGGAATGCGTACTGTGTCTCACCAGTTTCTGCTCATCCTGGCTGCGGTCAATTCTCAGTTTTCACACGTCTTCCGTTAAAGTGGGTCTGCGTGGCAACGGGTCTGACGTCTATTTTGTCATATTTAAATTTGGATAATCTTTCCATCGTTTCTTTCAGTCTCATACACTACAGCTTACCACAGTTCGTTGTTATTCTTTTCGTTGCTTTAATCTGCTCACGTTTCTATCCTTATCAAGTAGGTAGCCGATCAGGCGTTCCCCCAACTTTTTGGTCATATACCTATTAGCTTCACTTTGTGTACCTGATGCTTTTATAAACTGGACCAATCCTTACACCTTTCAATCATCAAGGTTTCCAAACGGTTAACGGAACTTTTCTACGGGCTAATACCCCACATTGCGTCTCCTTCAATCCTAGAAGTTGGTCCCCAACTTTCAACCACAGTCAACGCTGTGACTATCTGTAGGCCGAGGTATCTGCACAATTTCGAATTGCACCCTACTTTACAACCGCATTCATTGAAAGCCATATATGGAGGTGTATTTATCATCCCTTTACATGCAAACTTTCTCATCGACTAATTTCATTCTGTTTCTGTTATTTTCCCTTCAGAAATGTTGTCATTGAAGTGCTGTTCGGACTGTTGGAAATCGTTTTCAGGATGACAACTTGTTATTTCAAGAGTATCTTTTTACCAGCTGTACACCAGTTTAATACACGTGAAAGAGAGTTTGACACTTTTCCTTTCTTTATTGAGCCTCTTTCGGTGTTTCTTATTTCTTGGGTCCTAATTGGTTTTATTGAAAGCACTGAATGAAATTACATGTGTTCACTAAGTAACCACAAGATTTCATGCACCATCGAAAAACACTGTCTCTCTACCGCGCCTCTAGAGGAACTTTCCGATCAGCAGTGAAACTATTAACGTTCGTTTATGTGCTTCGCTTTGAAAGATTTGCACCTGCATGACTTTTTATCCGATTTTGCGTTTCAATCTACACTATTAGTCACTGATATTGTTTTTTGACGCTGTTCATCTCGGCTTATACCTGTGTTGATTTGTGATTAACTATCTAGTAATAGCTTTATTTCGTCCTGTATTTTTCACAGGACTGTGTTTGGAATGATGTCAACACCTTTTTTCGATTTACCATCCGTGAGATGATAAACTTGAAATTTATGTAGCACCAGTCAGGGCGTCATGACAACAGAGAGGTTTGAAATGAGACTATTAGTTTATTTGCCGCGCAACGTTTCGTTCTGGATGCAAAAGTTTCGCGTTTTGTAACGAGCTGCGGCAAGTATCTCCATGACAGTCTGATCGAACCTTTGTGCCATAAACGAAACCTTTCTCTTATTATCTTCAACAGCCGATTTTTTTCATACCCCCCATGAAATCGGTTGAATAAACCTTGGCAATACGCGTCCTCAATGTGTACCGGTTGACGTATCCAACTAGTGCGTTAACTGGTCACGCGGTACCAAGTAACCAACTCTCCCATGTTTGTACCACTCACTGTGGTCAATCGACTTGCAGCACAGCACTTACTAGTCAGCCAGGCGACTATGCATAGCTTTTGTTCTCTGGTTCCCCACAGTATGGACAATAAAACCTCTACCGCTGATGTAGGAGCCAGTCTCCCCCCCTCTCGTGAGCTCGTCTGTTCACCTTTTCTCATCCAGTTCCCCGTACCGATCTCGGCTGTTTTCATGGATGTTACTTACAAACACGTCTTGCGCTTATGGCATATTTGAATGACCAACGGTTTGCGATATTATATCGTCTTTTCAGCTACTTTGCTCTTAAAAGTGGGTTACACTGCGTATGCATGGAGCTACACTTGTTCCAATACCCAATCAACATTACGATGAATGACCTCCAGCAACCTATTGGCTTCGCATGCAGCTGGTGTTCTCGCATTCCGCTGGCATAGTGTTACCGGCAACAACTTGTTAACTGCCAGTATTCGAGCACCTTGCTTGGTTGGTAATTATTGCATGTTGCCTGCTCACAATCCTGATATCTCTTTCAGTCTGACCAGCCCAGATAAGCAGCTGATTGATACACTGTTCCGAAACGAACATGAACTCCGCACGATTACCCGCGACCCGAATGAAGAAAGATAGAGGCTTTAGGCGGAGGCGCGTTTCCTTGTTCTAACCAAAGCAAACCCACAACATGTACACCTCCGTGTTTGTAGCATCGTTTGCCTCATTGTCAGAACGTGACGTAGTTATCAGATGACGTGCTTACCACTTGATAGTAGCAAAAGGGGCAGGTCATAAGCTCATTGTTCGATTGGCTTAGAGCACGAGTACCACGCTTTCTCGCAGACAGTGGGAAGGTAACACCCGGTGCTCGTTGCTTTGCTACCACATGCCTGAAGCCAAGCAGCCGCTGCTCAAACTGATGCAAACCCGCCAATTCCCACTTGCGACTGGCCGTGGTCGAAAAACATGTGTATTGTCTCAGATCTCAAGGTTGCATGTACCAGGCCTCAAGCAGATCCCGTCAAGCCTCTGCAATCATATTCTAAACCAGATTTGCTCCTCACTGCCTTGTTGGGTAGACTATTGTGCCAAAGGTTCTGGGTTGAGTCTTTGAAGCGAGCCTCCATCTATTCCACTGCTATGTGGGTCAGCCTGATGGGTCAAAGGCCGGAATCAAGATACCTCGAACAAATCCCTTATCTCGGAGTGGACAACCACAGAATATCATTTACTATATTTACTCCGCCGCCGATACCCCTTCTTTTTGTTTTTATCTCCCCTTACAATTCTCTTTTTTATGGAGCAAGTGACTGCCATTAACTTCGTGACTGATAATGTCAATGTATATAACTCACTCCTCTGACCAAAGATCACATTTCACATTGGTTCTTTTAACGTCCGCACTCTGAATGTGATCGTCCAACATACGGCGCGAGCATTCACTCTCTTGATTCTGATGTGTGCTGTCTTCGAAATACACATGACGCACCTTCGACTCTATGATTCTGGATCTGACGACAGCGAGACTCTGCGTCTGGCGATACTGAGTCAATTGCTCAGGGTATTTATGGTGTCGTATTGCCGTCTGCAAAATGCCGAAGGAAACTTACTCGACTGGATGCCAGTGAACAGCCGTATGTGTACGGTTCGACTTTGAAACTCTTGGGGTTAATAAGCACGATCTGATGACCAAGTGTCCTTTCAAGACCTCCACTGACTGCAGTTTAATGGGCAGGAAAGTCGATTTCTGTTGTCAGTTCTCATCCCTTCTCCGTATGGTTGGAAATACTGACCTCGCCACCATCATTATCACCAACACACCTTAGCTCAAGGTGAGAAACGCACCTCAGTTTATGTGCCGCAATACAAAAAGACAAGCTATTCAACATTACATGCTAAAAATTAAAAAGCCAATAATATAATACTAACTACAGTGGATAGTAAATCGTTGGAAGGGGGGACAAAGAAACTCACAACATGAACTCCACTGAGCTCGACTCTTTGCCATATCATCTAGTCTATTCAACTAAACGTGTTCATCGTCCTTGGGACCCCAGCCTAGCAGTCAAGAAACACCAACCGACGCCAACTTCGAAGTGAGAGACTACATTCTTCTTGACCAAGTCATCGACTGGTCCCCGTTCTTCTACTTTTCACACCACGGTCGCGCAAACAACGCAGGACGCGGAAGTCGGCGTACTGGCATGCGCCACACATGGCCCAGGCATCGGAGCCTGGTGCGTGAAATAATTGTGCTGAACAGTTCATCCGCTCTTCCTGCACCAAATACGCTGTATTGTATACTCCGCCCTTCAAGGTAAGGGTGATGTCGCGCTACTGACATTGTGATTGTCGCTGGTGGCTTGAATGCCCAAGTTGAGTCATCTTTCGGACTCTGAACAACACCTCAGAAGCCGTTTCGAAGTCGATACATGCCGAACAAGGGATGGTGGTCGATTCCATTTACAATCTTTCTATGCACAACTCTGCTTTCCGGAATAAACTTTCATCTGGCGGTCACCGAATTGTTTGATAACCGGGACCCAAGTTGACTATTTGCTACCAGCTGTAGATGGTTCATATTAGTCCAAAGGTCAAGGGGTCATCCGTTGGTTATGGTCTTTCAACAACACTTTGCATTTTGAAAGTGCGAAAGGTATGCCAAGCGATGGCAACTGGATCCACCGCACTTCTGGGACAGGATCGTATTTGTCTTACTGAACAGAACTGTTTTTGATCTAAATGCTCGTTTCACTAAGACCTGTTATCCCAACTGAGACCGTTACACTTCATTCACAACAAGTAATATCAACAATCCAGATATGCTAATTTTTTATTCATATTCGCATTATGTTATGAACTGAGTCGCATAGTGTAATGCTTTCATTGTCCCACATTTCGACAATAGCATTTGTGTGTCAGTGAGCAATTTGGTCGCCCGACAGTGAATTCGCGGTGTCATTGAGGTTTCATGACTCTACTCTCCGTCCTTATAATTTTTGGACTTCATTCCTACTTCAATGAATTCCTTATTTTTCTTTACCTTACCGTTCCCTTATATTCGTGAACTCTCCCAGATTTCTTGGGAATGTCATGGCTAGTTGACCAAGTGGATTTATCACCCCTATTGCGATTTGCCACCACAGGAAAGCTGCTCGTCCTATTTAGTACGTGGGGAAATCGTGGTTTCTTACCTTATTAACAATCGACTGCAACAAAATGCTTTGAATGCGGATCATTACGCAGCTGTGTTCTTGCCATCAGTTCGCTCTCTGACTTTTTCTGCTCCGATTTCCCTAAGCTTTCACTTTGCAACAGACGGATCGTTATACGCACCGAAACACTGTAATCTTCGTTTGTTTATTTCATTTACCTCTTGCCTGACTTCTATCTGGTGTCTAAACTTCCAGTTCCTAGGCTTTGTCCCCATTTGTTTCGTGGCAATTCTATGCCTAAATAGGCGGCTAGTGACTGTGTGTCCTAGGTAGTTGGCTTTTAATCCTCATTTCAGTGGTTTGATCCTACCCAAATGCAGGCGACCTCACAATATCGCTTGCCTGCAAAGTACTGTTGGCAATGAAGCATCTATACAGAGTACATGCGTACGGACGATGTTCTTATGCCCTAAATGTAGTACAGTTGGTAAGCCACGATCCATCATGTGTACCTTGCCCCTCGTTTTGATTCACCATTGATCCACACTTGTCTATCAGTTCGTTCCTTCCGTTCTTTGCCCTTTTTACTGGGCTATACCGTGCTACGCATACGATCGCTTTGAACTCACCCTCAAATTTATCCTAACAGCAGATTCCCTTTGTATAAGGCATCGCGTTACCAACCTTGGGTGTGGATAACGCTGCTGTGTGCCACTATGTCTTCCTTCACATTTTCCTCATAATTAATTTGGTCACCATCTTTTGCGATAGTCCTCATTCGTTGTCTCTTATTCGATCACAATTAATTGCTTTTTAATGGTTAACTGCACGATTATGCTGGGTTAACCTCTGTATACCACTAGATGTTGTGTTTCTTATTGTTTCACGTCACCCTGGACACTTGCATTCCGCATTGCCGTCGGTACCTTCACCAAATGCAACTGCACCTTTTGACATTGGGTGTGATTGGACGGGATTCCATGGTAAACCAATAAGTTACGGCTACATGTATTTGAAGCGTTGGCGAGTTTGCACAGAGTCGCATTTGACACCTACCATCAATGGTGGAAATCCCGGTTCTGCATTATCGATAGTTATTGCATTTACGCATCTGTGTTTTTAGCAATCCGGCGAACCGCTTGGTGTCATGACTTCGGCCCCACTGGCCTTTAATTGAAATTTCTATTTTGCCTTCTGTCCGCCAGACGTTGTTTACTCCTTTCTAAATGAATTATGTAGTGCTGTCAGATGCAATTACTTGTGTTAACTAAATTGCAACTTAATGTCTACTCTATGATTCTTTCAGCTTTTTGGTCTTTGATCCTCCTTTTGAAAACGTTATGCCTCCACGATGAAAGTTACGGTTCAAGTGACCAGCCCCGTTGATTCTTTTTCCCCTCCGCCCTCTCCTATGCTACGACACGTGCTATCCTCTCGTGTCCTTCACGCTCTTTCAGTCCCACATGCAAGGCATAAAAGAGGCGTCTTTAGAGTGAGTTACCTCTTTGCGTGTTCATGTGTACTCCACTGGCTGATAGCCACACTGTATCTTGTGTGGTGTCACTCACTATCCTCCTTCATGCACTATGAATCCCGGGTTTATAGATCACTCAGTTGTGAATATCGTTCTGATGGCAAATGGTTACTCAGAGGATATCATCTTTTGGTACGGCACACACGCAACGTTATTTGTATTAGCGGACCTGCGTCGCTTATTTATCTCACAACTACTTGAGAATAGAGCAATCAATTCGAGATTTTACAATACCACTCTTTCAGAACAGTTTGTATTAAACGGAGAGTGGAAACATTACTCAAAGGCAGTCTCATCAATAGTGCTGTTAAGTATACCTATTTTCATCACCTTAAACGTATGCTACTAATTCATCCTCTGTTTCATTTGCGCACTTTAATTAGAACCTTCAAAAGCGCTGTTTTTCGATGTCGGTACTTTGGCTCCCATTCCGTTCTTTTAGTACTGGATCAATACATCTTCGACGTTATTGCGTGATTGCTCAACTAGACATCGTGTTTAGGTTCCGAAGTCATATCCCAGCTCCATGATCTTGTCGAGTGAATGTGCCTGCAATGATCCCTGTACGCTAGGTCAGAATCGTGCTTGGAAGCGCAAGCGGTGAAGTCTAGCAAGACTGTTGTTCGCCTAATCCACATGTTCACTTTCGACTGACCCAAACGAACAGTCACACGCGTACATTTAGTAATTTGTTTAGGGCTAGGTTGGCCCCACTGTGCATGCATCGCTGAATATAATCCTAGAGTTCAGCTAGAATCGCAGCTGATCTGCAGTCCTTCGATCCGTATTAGATCGTCGCGTATCGTCACAGGCTGGAGTGGTCCAGCAACCCTACTGAACACCACGTATTTATTAAGTTGTTGGCAAAGCGACAAGTTACTGCTACTCTGATCTATGTTACCCAGCAACCGTATAACGCTCCTCATGTTTTTCAGCACCTGTATCCATCAATTCTACAAGTTGGACGTTAGCCTATCTAAATTTGCTCCCAGGTACTCTGATCAATCTGATGCACCCGCCTCATTTGAAGTTATCACCCCCATGCTTACTCTCAGCTGGGAATTTATTTGATCACTCATCCATCATCAGACCATCGGATCACTGGTTTGTCTTCTGCTGTTGCTCTTCGATTATGTATCGTACCAACCGATGGCACGATCTTATATCCTGAAGAAATTTTCCACTCTGTACAGGCAGTTACCAAGACCAGTTGCTCGTCTTGTGGTCGGCTCTTCTTTGTTCAGATGTCCTCCAGAGGATAGACATCGGCATATTTATTTCTGTGGGTCATAGTTTCCGCTTGCTTGTACAGAGGTCAGGGCGCAAAATTTATTTAGTTCATTTGTGAATTTTGTTTTTGTTTTAACCGTTGGTCAGGAGTCTTTACTGACGCTTTCGGCCGCTGATTATTTGCTTCGTTTTACTTTAGTTAGAGCTCTGTTATTGTAAACTAGTGTGCCCAAGTGCGCACTGTTCACCAAATGCCTCGTACCTGATGCCATGCTTTTTTCCCCTTTATTTTCAGACCCAATCTTGGCTACTCGCGATTTTGGTCGCTTTCACGATCTTCCTGTTCTGGTTTTCCCACAACTATGCCACTTTCTTCCGCAAGGATTCGTTAACAAATGTAGCCTCGTATCCATTTTCCAGTCTGCCCACTTCATCCGAACTCAAACCGTATAAAGATGAACCTCCGACTTACTCCGGCAGCTCTTTCGGAGTGGTGTTTGATGCGGGTAGCACCGGGTCCCGTGTGCATGTTTTTCAATTCAGAAGGCTAACCTCAGGTAAATTCTCTTACATCTCCCTGCAGCTAGTTACACCTTTTGCCTTTGCTTCATTGATTGTACGATCGCGTTTGGTCCAGTAAATGCTGTTGCTTCGTCATGCGCGCTTTTGTGCTCTGCTCAAGTGGTTGTTCTTAGGGCCCCTTGGCTTCGGGCATGTTTCTAAGTACAGAATACGTAAGAGTGCGCCGGCGATTCGTTCGCAGCTCAACATCTTAGTTGACACATTTATAAACCACATTGTGGATGTGGTAAACACTGACCGTGACTGGTACTCTGTGGGGAGATATTATTTTCATTTTCTAAACCCTTTCGTTAGTCTACTATGCCTTTGGTGGTGGTAAATACTTGCATCTTGATTGTTAGTAGCCGGAGCCATTTCGCATACTAGCGCCGCCGAATCGGCTGACTTTGGGCACTACACACTCTGACATGCGCTTCACATATCTAACACACGAATTTAACGCTTTCTCTTGCCCATGATTTTTCATGGCAATCCGGTTCATCCCACCTTGATGCTTAAGTTGTGGTGGATAAATGCAATTACAAGGCATCCTTGGCGTGAATTCCCTAGCTGCTAGGCAAACACCTGAAGTGTCCAATTGGGTCACTAATCTGGTTATTTGTGCCATTTGTGTTATTCAAAAGGGTAACAAGGATCGATTCCGCCTAATTTTACACTTATTTGACAGCAGGCGTTTATGCTTGGTCCTAACGAACTCAGTCGCATTATTGTGGGCGTCAGTGACAGTCACTGTCCTTCAGTAATCTTTGGCGGAACAAAGCTGCATCCTGCAAGCCGAGTCCACAGATGGCCGTTTGGAAGGGTCTCTATTTTTAGAAGTAACTTTAAAATTATTCCGTCTATTATCTGGCACTTCAACTGAACTTGCCTTCACGAGCAATCGGCGGTGTATTCTCAGCACATGGGGGATGCTGGATTGGCCAACTACTTACTTCTTTAGTGTACAAGAGGGTCATACAACGATTGGTCATCATCACCAATACCAGAATATCAGCTATCTGAACTGACGCATCGCTGCCATACAACTACAGTGACATAAGGAATGCAGAATTATAAAAGAAAGAAAAGAGGGGTTTAGTGTAAAACCTTAATGCCCTAAGCAAACATTCAGGGTCAAGGCGCCTACAACTTGTCAACCACATGCGATTACTAACAGCTAGCTACCATGCAATGGTACAACGACTTGTCACTGCCAAGTTGAGCGGCTATGAGGCTACCAACCGTTTGCTTCCTTAACGAGTGGTGCGTTCACGGCATAACATGCGTACACATATTTGGTTACCAAAGGCTTCCATGTAGACTAGCCAATATAAGACGAGAAGGCATGATTTTTACAACCACGTTGTCATTCAAAGGTTTACCAAGCACTCCGAATGTTCTAACTTCATTCAAATACCGTATTATCCGCACCTCGGTTAACTATTTCGACAGCCCGCGGTATATGTAAATCACTCCGCTATGTTGTGATTTAGGTCTTTTCAGCCTAAATATCGGAATGGAATTCCTTAAGTCAACTTTCTTCTCCTACTTGGATAGGAAAATTTATGCCACAAATCTTTGGACAAATGAATCAACAGCTGACAAATCTCCGCCTTCACCTTTTCCGCCCAAAGCAATCTTCTGGGTCTCCTAAGCCACTAATTTATTCCACGGTTATTCGATCATCCGACGTAGGCAACCAGAGTCCCAGTCGCAGTGAGACACACTCATCAAATGTCCAAACCCCTCCGATGGGCATTCTGAGATCAAGTATGGATCACCCAGTTTTGTTGGCAAACCGCTTCCAGTACACCGTTCCCAATCGAAGGTGACAGCTTTCAATGTTACGGCCACTGTACAACTGAGTCACGAGTGGTTTTTGTTTATTACTCTGGATACTCCCCTCATCCAAATTCGTCGCTTCACAGAAATCGTTCACCGGACTGATTTCACCGTCGGCAGTTTCCGATGGTGGTACATTCACACTACGTATATCCAGAAACGCAAGTACCGCGACTGTGGCCCATGTTTCTAAAGGTTTGTGTTAACTACGTGTACAAAGCCTGTGATGCACTGGAACCGGTGGTTCTCAATGACGGACTCCGCTGTCGTTTAGTCATTGATTCACTGGGAACCAGGGTTCCTCATAACGGATTACGCTCCCACGAACTACAAGCTGGACTTAACTCTTAACCTGTGTTCCGCCGCCAACTCAACGACCTTCTCCGCAATAAACGCTGCGCGGACACTGTGCTACTTGTAGGAAACTTACATGCTTAGGTCGTTAGACTTGGATTTGATGACCAACGTGAGCATGGTACTTGCATGTCAAGTAACGACGATCGCCTACTTCCTCTTCGTACTCATCTCAATTGTTAGTCACTGAATGTCAGCATGTTGCTTGCAGCTATTTGAAGTCTGTCGAACAGTTCCTGTTGGCACGGATGACAGTTCACCGCACACCAAGGCTCGTGCGATGAGCTGTGTGCCTCCATTGTGCATAACGTTTAGTTTCGTGACACTTTCCAGCTCATTTGTTACAAGTTACACGAACTCGATCTCCTCATCCTCGTCGTCGTAACTTTCTGAGAGCTGTTCCAAGGTATAAGTCCAGCGCCACAATTTTGGCATTGGTGTGGTACTACGCCTGCTCAACGTGTTTCTCTCTTTCGCCTCATGCTAAGCGTCCCCACCACTATGGGCCTACAGTTGACTGTGGTCGCAGTTTTATAGTCCGTCGTGATCGATGAACCATCACGACTAATTCTCGTTATAAACTTGCGAAAACTACATGCGTCCACAATAAAAACATGCAAAATCTGATTTGTATTCAAAACATTCAGGAACCATGAAATCGCAACCTGTTCCAAGCCCATTCCGAGGCATTGCAAATGGGGATGTGTTTGCTCAGTTCCTCGCCTCCGGATCCTTTCAAAGGTTTACCCTTGTTTTGCTGGCGCTGGCGACAGATTTCTTTAGTTGCGCAACGGCTGTATCCTCGGTATCTACAGTATTGTACACTTTCACAATTGCTCTGCTCTGGTCGTACACTTGTGTCTTTACGCTCATTTGATTCAACTCGTTGTTTTCACCTCTCCCTGGTCCACTGAACTGGACCAAATACCATCATACGTGAGGCGATTATTGTTTGTTGATCTCAACAACTTAATGTCCTCATGACAGGAGATCGGGTTGTTCTTGGTGCTCTTCTCTCAGCATAATGATCAATACTACATTAGCTAGCCTCAATTGATGCTGGGCACAAGTGCCACGAGTTGTCACCAATCTTAGGGACCTCTGCAGCTTCTCTCTTATTTGCTGCCAAACTCCTCATATCATTCAGCTTTCTTGCTGACAGAGCGCACAGAGATGACTGTGGTCACCACCGCACTATCTAATACGGTGGATAAACAATACATACTTTTTTCTAAATCTACAAGTTGATTATGCCGAAGCGACACAAGCTAACTAGGCTTGACGACGTCCCTCCTTTTCTAGAAGACTGTTGGTTCACTAGTAGTTGTGTTAGATGCTGTTTTCGATTTCGTTTGGTATCATTGTGCAATACTTTTAACCTGGCTGTTATCAGTCTTCATTTCCATCTTCTAAGATTGCCAAAAATTACGGCAGGAAGATTATCGTATCATGAACATCGTTACCATGCCCACTTAACTGTTCACTCCACTGGCTCAACTGTTCCAGGAATTGTCGAATCATCGAAACTGACTGAGCTTTACCAAGCTAGTTGACGCATTAGCCAGTGCAGTTAGTTTAGAACCTAGCGATCCTGCGATTACGCATGGCTTGCTGTGGTCTTTCATCTTACTCGTGGAGAGAGCGGCCTTGTTTGTCTGTACACTTGTCTGATTGTGGCATCTTTTGTCACCGTACACCAGTTAACTTTTGTTTTAATCCAGAATTTTACATACCGTATTGTGGCGGACAAATTACAGTCTGTCGGATTCCACCGAATCACTCCACAGGTGCTCTCCCTAATTCCGTTTTTTTCCTGCCCCGAACTTTCATCCAGACATGCACACGTTTCCTCGTCACATACTTTATCGATTGTCTCTCAGCCCTTCCATCGTATCCTCATTCCGGACACGTGTTCATCGAGTGAGCGTAGGCTAGACTTGTCATCCTACCCACCCGTGTTCCATATGCACTGTTCATTCATTGGCTGATCGACTGACGATTGATCCCTTCGTTGTAAACCACTCTGAATGACATTGGGACCGCTTCGTTTCGGTTTGCTTATCGGTTGATCGTTGCTGTTTTTTTACCTAGTTTGACGGCACGTTGCATTTGAGAGCCCAATTATTGTGCGCATTTTCGTTTGGATATTGTTCGAGTTTTGTTACTAAATTGTTGTATAACCATTTGTAAATAGCACCATAGCTCTTCCAACTTTGACTTCTGGATTGACCCTGGTGCTGTGTTGCTCAAGTTCCACGACCGATTTGTCGGTAGCACTAATCTTACAGACCGTCTAAGGTCCCTTAACAAATTATCTCTCACATTTACCATTTGTCTATCCTACATTTCATGGATGGCTTTGCCCTGCCCGTTTCATTCAGAGTTTGTACTCTACCATTTGACTGACTAACATTAACCCTATAGATGCATGCTCCGTCTACTTCGGCATTTGTTTCACCTTTGTCTGTGTAGCAACATTTCCGGTAGGCAGATCACTGCAGTGACCATAACTCATATCCATAGATCCCATGCTAATTTACAGCTACGTAGACAATAAATCATCCCGTGTTATCAACTGAGGACAATGTACAACACTGCAGTGTATCTAATGCCACTCCAGTTAACACAGTCACAACTATTATACTTTAGGACTTTAAGTAACACTTTATATTTGACCACTGAGGTCTGCTTAGCGTTGTTCTCCTCTGTTACTATCACGTAATAAGCAACACGGAATCTTACCAGTTGTTGTTTTTTGTTAGCAAGCCTTCTGACACCTCAGGTGGACCTAACCTGTCTACATGTCTGCATTTCCTCATTCATCTTCACCAGCCCCTATTGTGATATATGTGGTGATTACCGCGTTTCAATATTTTAACTTTG